CACACCACCACAACAGGCACGCACCCAGGCCAGGGTTTCCCATGCTGGCTCACCGAAGCCAAGGCAGTCACAGACTGGTGTCTGTGTCAGCAGCACTGGCCCGTCAGTTTGGCATCTGATCTCATCTGGTATCCTGCAGAGCCCGACCCAGCTGGCGTTCACAGCATACATGATGTTGGTAGGAGCAACGTCGGTGTGAATAACCCTGAGGGCAACGGCACTGAAAGGTACCTGAGTGGGTTAAAAAGAAGAAGGAAAACCCAGCCATCGTCTCAATGTCTCAGCATCAATTTAACTCAGTTCCGAGATAAGACGGTGGCAAGCACACAAACCCTGGGAGCTCCCAGCCCCCTCCTCCAGGAGTTCCCTCTGTGGCACACACCAACAACGGAGCACACAGAAAACGTGCAGCACAAGAACTGCCAGGTACCCCCACGCACCACCCCCGAGCCCTTCAAAGCCACCCGGGTACCTGATATGGCACAAGGCTGTGCAGCGGAAGCACGGCACCGATGTCCGGGGCCTGCAGCTGGCCCAGGTAGCCCAGCATGGACATGTCCCGCAGGATGCCGCTGTGCACTCGCCTGGAGAAGCACCACAGCACGTCAAGGCAAGGCAGCTTCACACCACAGTTCCCACTGCATCCCCCAGGCAGCCATGCACTGCTGGCTGCTGTTTCACACAGTGCAGCTCCTAAAGCTTCTACTGCTGAAGCAAACACAGAGCTATGCTTTCATTACCTCTACGAAATCACAGGGTTTAAGGCATTGTTTCAGCTTTAAGGAAGCATTAATTAGCAGAGGAGGTGGTTTGTTTTCCTTTAAACAAAGTCTGTTATTAGGTAATGGCTTCCTTCGACAGCACTGATGCCCACACACCTTTTACTCAGTCAGCTGGGCACCCAGTAATGCCTTTGTTCAAACAGCTCATTAGAGAAGGCAGAGTCAAAAAAGGCCCTTGAAACTGGCAACAGAGACCCAAGGCTCAGGAAAAGAAACATTTCAGAGCTGTTCAAAGCATCAGAGAAATCACAAAATAAAGCTATCATCACGTAGGTCTGTAAAACATGGCTAAGGACCCTCCCAATTAGAAGTGGAAACGACATCACATTCAATGAGTCCAAGTGGAAACGCCTAACATAACCCCCAGTGAGCAAACCAGTGAGCTCTGACCAACCTAACGGACCAAAGCCCTTCAGGTTCTCTTCAGCCCAATGCCCACCACCACCCAGCACCAAACTTTCTACTTACGCTTCACCTGCAACCCCTGCTCGAGGGAATTCCGGATGGACGTAGAGCAACTTGTACTCGGGAGCCGAGGCATCTCCCTCCCCTTCCGAGGGCTTCCAGCTCTCCCCTCCATCCGCAGCCAGCTGCTTGCACTTGGCCTGCTGCTTGCCCTTGGTGTAGAGGCCAGGAGTGAGGTGAACGTACTCCGGGGTGAGCGGAGCCATGGCCTTCCAGTCGTACACATCCATCTGCACAATGTGACTGGGTGACACCAGCCGGATGAGATCAATCAGAAGCAGCAACCCCTCACCTTTAGGGAGCAGAGAAAACACAACTGCTGCTGCCACATAAACACGTCACAACACTGCCATGGAAGAGCAGCGCTAGCTCCAAGGGGGAAGCTGTACTTCCTGGTTCCACACTCTACAGAAAGCATGCTAATGTAGCACTGTGACCATCACCTTCCTCTGCACCACTTCTGGCGAGCACATTTATCCTGGTTACCTTTCACCCAGCCCATGGTGTTGATGACTAAAGGCACTTCCTTCTTGTAGGAGCTGAACACGTACTTCACCACATCGAGGTACCTCTCCGTGTCCTGCTCACAACTGGTCTGCCCATAATACACCATCTTGCGTGGGGTCTGTTGGTGGATGAATGGTGGACCTGGAAAGGCAAGCAGCAAACCTCTAGTAGTTCCCACAAGTCAAATCAGAAACTCCCATCCCTGTAGCACCTACACAATCCCTTCCAAAATAAATCTGTCCTCTTTGCACATGCAAACAGCCCTGCTTGGGCAGCTTCTTGATAGTTGACAAACCACCCAAAAAGCAGACCGCATCCTGGTCACATTTGGGACCCAAATGCACCAGACCACAAACACCAGTGATTCCTCTGGCTCTAGGGGTGTTTTCACACCCCTCATCTACATGGATCCGTTTTGTATCCCACAAGCTAGTTTTATTTATGGATCCTAACACCTGGGAAATGTTTGCCCAAAGAGACATTTTGAATGGGAAAGGCTGCAAACCCACTTTGCCATGCCGCAGCCTCTTCTACCACCTCCTAAACAAAGTTCTTCTCCCTTTCAAACAGGAAAAACAAGCAGGGAGAACAGCCCCATGGTACTCAGTGAGACTTTCACCTCGAGCTTAGCTGCCCCGAGCAAGACAACTTGCACAGCCTTTGGTTTATCTTGTACAGGCAGCCTGGGACAGAGGCAGCAACTTCCCCTAAAGCACGGGCTCTGCTCAGAAAACACTTGTGGCCACGCAACAGCTTTCTGGAAAGTGCAGAGAACAGCAGAACGCTTACCAAGAACTGGCTCCGTCACGTTGCTCAGCGACACGCATCCCGGCGGCGTGAACTCCGTCTGACCTATGTCACATTCCATGTATTCAACCGAGGGAAGGCTGCCGGGAGGGAAGCCCACACGTTAGCATCCACAACCTGATCACCACGGTTAAGTTATTGAACACCATCAAACCACCACTGCCTCCCTCCCTTTATCCACTAAGAACGCAAAGGGCTCGCTTACGGCTCGGTATCGCACTACAATAGCCCCAAACCCAGCCAGCTTTAAGGGAGGCAGCTACAGCAATAATCAGAGATGGTTGTACCCAGTGTCCCCCCTCTCCCATGTTAGCTGAGACCAGCCGTTTGATGAGAAACTTCGTAAGCTTTAAGCATGCAGAGGGCAGGAGAAGCAGCTTCTACACCTTGCTCTGCCAAGGACCTTTAGATACCCCCAGATTATAACTTCATGCCTGTTTCTCAGTGATAAAACTGCCCCTTTCCTACTGAACCCTAACTGCTTGGTGTCCAGTTAGCTCACATACCCCACAACCACGCAGCAGTATCCCTCCTACGCCCCACACAGGGCATTTTCACACGCGCAGAGACTCACCGATTCAGCAGCAGGTTAATCAGGTATCTGTTAAACGTCGATTTCCCAGTGTTTTTTGGGCCACACACCAGAACCACAGGAACTCCTTCATCTTCCTCTGAAAAACAAGCACGCTGTGAGACACACCGCTGCTGCCGGTTACCCCCGTGGCTGCCTTCCCCGCAGTGTCATTAAGAGAAGCCCCCCAAAACCTACAGACTCTGCTGCGTGATGCGCTGCAGTGACATGGGGAGCACGTCAAGCGTACCAGTGTGAAGAGGCTGCTGAAGGGAGAAGCCAGCCCTGGCGCTACAACCCAGCCCCTACAAACCCCAGCTGCTCATGGTACTTTAGGTGTCACTGGGTAAAGGGATGCGTTTGCTGCCTACAGAACAAAATGAGTGGCCGGGAAGCGCCCTTACATGGGTGAGCTGCCGATGTCAAGGAGAGGCACAACCCCGTGGAGGGGATGCACAGCCTCGAGCCTCCCACTGCGCAGCAGGAAGCCATCACCCTCAACCCCTGCCTACCACGGGACACGCTCCCCAAGAGCCTCGATGCCCTCCCCTCACCGCAGCACGCCTGGATCAGCTCCTCCAGCGCCAGCCCCATGCTCTCGGACACCAGCAGCCCGCGCTCGGGGCTGCACTTCACGATGCCAACGGACGCCAGAACCGCATCCTCGGACGTGAAGATGGATTCTTCCTTTTTCTACGGGAGAGGGGAAGACACTCCGTGCCCCGTGCGCAAGCGGCTTGTCCCGGTGCTGCCGGGCACGGACGGGCCTCACCTGAGGCTCAAAGAGCCGGGACAGAGGCGGGTGGCTCAGCAGGAACCGCGTCACCGGCGTGTCCAGGTGCTCCAGCAGCACCACGGCGCCCTCGGGGCAGAACCGCGCCATCGCCTTCACCCGCGCCTCTGCAACGGGGCACAGCGCCGCGCTCAGCCCGCGAAATGGCGGCCGCCCCGCACGAAATGGCGGCCGCCCCGCACCGCGCCGCACGCGAAATGGCGGCCGCCCCGCACCGCCCGGCGAAATGGCGGCCCGCACTCACGGCGGCGGACGCGGTGAGCCCGCATGGCACCGCGGGCCAGGGCCCGCAGCTGGCGGAGGTCGGCGGCGGGCGGGCGCTCGGCGGGCAGCGCCTCCAGGGTGAGCGAGCAGTGGGTGGCCGGGGAGAAGACCGGCAGCGCCGGCTGGTGCGAGCCCACGGCGAAGCCCAGGAGGCGGACGGCGCCGTACAGGCAGCGCAGGCGGCACTTCCCGGTGAAGGTCAGCGCCTGCGGAGGGAGACCATGGGGATGCGGCGGGACCGGACCGCACCGCACCGCGGGGCCGCAGTCCCGGTGCCCGCTCACCTGCCGCGGTGCCAGGAGCAGGACAGCGGAGCCCTCGGCCGCCTCCACGGCCGCTAAGCCCGGCTCGGCCGGCGGCACCATACCGGCGCGGGCGAAGGAGGCGGCGAACTCCCTCCAGGCCGCCTCCACCCGGCTCCTGCCGCGGGTCGCGGCCCGGCGGGCTCTGCGGGCCTGCGTGCTCCGCCGTGCGGACATGGCCGCGGCCGCTCCCTCCGCCTCCTCCGGGGCCGCCCCCCCGTTCCCGGCCTGGCTCCGCCTGCCCCGTTAAGAAGCGCCGCCCGGCGCCCAGCACCGCCCCGCCATGCCGCTGCCCGCCCGGCTGTGCCTGTGCCTCTGCTTGTGCCTGTGCGCGGCCGCCGGCAGCCCCGGTGACTACCGCCTGACGGGGCTGTTCCCGCTGCACGGCCCCGCAACGCGGCTGCTGGGGCACGGCTGCGACGCGTGAGTGCCCTGCACCCGCTTCCCCCGTCCGCATCACCCCTGCCCTGCACCCGCTTCCCCCATCGCCATCACCCCTGCGCTCCCCTCTCCTCCCTAAACACTGCTTTGCGTTCGCACAGCTCCGCCGCCTCCTTCTCCAACCACTTCTACTGCCTGGCCCAGACCATGCGCTTTGCCGTGGAGGAGATCAACAACTCCAGCACCCTGCTGCCCAACGTCACCTTGGGCTATGACATCCACGATACCTGCTCCGAGCCCGCCAACCTCCACGCCACGCTGCGAGCCCTGGTGCGGAAAGGAGGGCAGGAGGTTGAGGTGCTCTCCTCCTTCCTCTGCTATGAGCCTGATGCCGTGGCTGTCATCGGGCCGCACAGCTCCCAGCTTGCCCTTACCACTGCGCCCGTGCTCGGCCTCTTCCTTGTGCCATTGGTAAGTGTGGCCGGGAAAGAAAAGGGATCCTGAGGAGCAGTTTTGTGGGATGATGGGGCTGGAGATGAGTAGAGCTGGATACAGCCCCTCCACATCTGCTGGTCCCGGTGCTGTGGCTGGCTCAGACCAGCTCCGGATCCGCTGTCTGCCCAGCCCCAGGTCTCTTCAGTCCCTTTGGGTGTCACTGAATGGGGAAGCAAAGCCCCCTTTCTCCTGGCTCCCTTTGCAGATCAGCTACGAAGCCTCCTTGGAGACGCTCAGCCTGAAGCGGTTCTACCCCTCGTTCCTGCGCACCATCCCCAGTGACGGGCAGCAAGTGAAGGCCATCTTCCAGCTGCTGCAGCACTTTGGGTGGACATGGGTTGTGCTGCTAGGCAGCGATGATACCTATGGCAGGGCTAGCTCGGAAGCCCTCTACACCCTGCTGACTACCAGTGACATCTGTGTTGCTTACCGAAGCACCATCCCTGCCAACAAGGATTCGAGCAGCCCAGAGCTCCACAGCCTGGTCAGGATCCTCACGGAAGCCAGGGTCAATGTCACCATCGTCTTTTCCGACGCACAAAGTGCCCGCTCTTTCTTTGAGGTGGTGGTCAAGAGGAATGTCACGGGCATGGTGTGGGTGGGCTCTGAAGACTGGGTGTTAGACCAAGCCATCTGGCAGGTGCCTGGCATCCAGAGCATCGGCTCCGTCATTGCCATGTCGGTTGAGAAGGCAGAGTCTGCGATGCTGGAACGTTTTGAATCGTGGAAGGCGGCAGAGGAAGGCGCTGCGGCTGAGTGTGCCGGCAGCACGGAGGCAGGCGAGGGGAGCGAAGGGAGCACCCAGCCCAACTGCACCCAGTGCTGCACCGGCTGCCACTGGTTCACTGCTGCCCACAGTGTGTACGACGCTCAGTCCTCCTTCCGCGTGTACTCGGCTGTGTACGCCGTGGCCCACGGCCTCCATGACCTGCTGGGCTGCGCCTCGGGGATGTGCAGCAAGGGCCCAGTGTATCCCTGGCAGGTAAGAGCAACATCAGGAATGATATTCCCTGTAGGAGAGGATCCATGAGGATCCTTGCGCACAGGGAAGGATTCTCCCCTGTGCCTGGGCTTATTTTGTCCCTCTGAAATGCCCATGCCCCGGCTGAAGAGCCCTGTGGCTTCAGCTGCTCATCAGCATTACAGCAGGAGGTACCTAGACCCAGACCCTGCCCTACCTCACTTCTGTTCCTCCCAGCAGCCCCTTGCAGAAACCTGGAAGGGCCTTTCTGTTGGGGACTGCAAAGAGGAGCCAGAGCAGAGGAGGGCCCTCTAGCACGTCGCCCTCCCAGACAAGGCACTCCTCCCCTCTGACTCTTGTTTTGCAGCTCCTACAAAAGATCAAGCAAGTAAACTTCACTCTGTACAAGAGCCACATCTCTTTTGATGCCAGCGGGGACATTTGTCAAGGCTATGACATCGTCATGTGGAACTGGAGTGGCCCAAGCTGGGCCTTTGATGTGATAGGAAGATTCCATGTGAACCCCGACAGGCTGAGCATTGACAATGACAAACTCCTGTGGCACACAGAAGATGGCCAGGTACTGTTCTGCATCCACATCTTATTTATTGTTTCCTGCCAAGCCAGCTACGTCCCCAGCACCAGTGGTTCTGGGGCATTCCCCCACAGCAGGACAAAAACGAGGGCAGACAGAGGTGGTATGGGGGCAATGTGTGCTCTGAGCATCAGCTTTCATCCTTGCAGAAATCAAGCAGGGCACACAAACCACGAGCTCTTCTACTCATTTTCGCACGGTCTCTTTAAGAGGTACAACACGGGGAGCTCGGGGGGTGTCCCACTGCTCACCCCGCTCGCCTGCCGTGCTCCCGACAGGCTCCCACCTCCATGTGCACTGAGCCCTGTCAACCCGGGGAGAGGCGGCTGCAGACGAACCGCCACCGATGCTGCTTCAACTGCGTGGCCTGTCCATCAGGAACCTTCCTGAACAGATCCGGTCAGTGCACCCCGGGGGCTGCTCCCTCCCCTTCCTTCCCGCTGGGCTCTCCTCCCATCGGCTCCTCGCTTCCATCTCACTGGCCCCCAGTCCCTTCCCTCCTGCTCTTTCTTGCTCCCTGTAGTCCGGGATCTCAGCTGACAGAGTTGGTCTGACTCCCATTTGCTTACCCATGGGCATGCAAAGCCTGTGCCCAGCACTTCCCGGGAGCGCTGCCCGCAGGCAGCAGAGCCGGTGCTGGCTTCTCCCATGGCCCGGGCACATCCGGCCCGGCAGCTGCTTCCGGCACCGCATCCTCCGGGAGGGAAACGGGACCCGGCGGTGCCTCTGTGCCGCAGATGGCACTCGAGGCTTCCGCACCGCGGTCGGCAGCAGCTGCCCTATGGAAATGTCCCCTGCCCGGGACGGGTGGCAGGAATCTCCTCTCGGAGTCTGCAGCCACAGCGACAAACCCTTGCTGGCAGCTTGTCTCCCAGCAGCTTTGGCACACGCTTGGGCTAATGGGGGTGGAAGTGGCTGGGTGCAGGTAACGGTGGGAGCGGAGAGCCCCCAGACATGGCCAGTTCTTCCTGCCCCATAGCCCAGCCTGCAGGAGGGGGGCTGCTGCAGACCCTTTACAGGTTACTGCTGGCCCCATGAGCCCCTTCCCACCCACAGCCCTCATGCCCCTCAGCCCCAGCTCACTGCTGAGCTCCTGTGGGACTTGTGCCCCTTAGCCCAAGCAATAGACTCTTGGGAAGTCCACTGGGAGGCCTCTTGGGAAAAGAGACCCCTCCACTCCTCAAGGCTGGAAGGCACCCACGGGGGAAGGAGAAGGACATAAGGAGCGAGCAGCTCTCACAGGAGCCTGAGTGCAGGGTGCTCCACCGCAGCACATCTCTTACCGGGGTCCGTGCTGGGCGAGGTGCCTCTTGTCACCGTCCGTGTCCTCCGCAGACCTCTACAGCTGCCAGCACTGCGGGGCGGAAGAGTGGGCACCCGAGAGGAGCGAGGTTTGCTTCAACCGCACCGTCGAGTTCCTGTCCTGGTCCGGGCCCATGTCCTGGGCACTGCTGATCCCCACTGCCCTCCTCATGCTGCTCATGGCAGGGCTGGCCGTCCTCTTCGCCCTGAACGCCTCCACCCCGGTGGTCAAGTCTGCGGGGGGCAAGATGTGCTTCCTCATGCTGGGCGCTCTGGCCTGCGCCTGCAGCAGCCTCTTGGGCTACTTCGGGGAGCCCACGCAGCACATGTGCCTGCTGCAGCACCCCGTCTATGTCATCAGCCTCACCATCTTCCTGTCGTGCGTGGCCACCCGCTCCTTCCAGATCGTCTGCATCTTCAAGCTGAACGCGCGCTGGCCGGCTCTGTACGAGGCGTGGCTGCGGCGCCGGGGCCCGGTGCTGTTCGTGGCCGCCAGCACGCTGTGCCAGGCCGCGCTGTGCGTGGCGCTGGAGGCCGCCGAGCCCTCGGTGCCGCACAGGAACTACGGCATCAGCGCGCAGCGGGTGCTGCTGGAGTGCGTGCCGAGCTCGGCGGTGAGCCAGGCCACCACCGCCTGCACCGTGCTGCTCAGCGCCGTCTGCTTCGCGCTCAGCTACGCGGGCAAGGACCTGCCCGCCAGCTACAACGAGGCCAAGTGCCTCACCTGCAGCCTGCTGCTGCACCTCGCGGGCTCCGCCGTCTTCCTCTGCACGCAGGACGCCTTCTCCGGCCGGGAGCAGGCGGCGGTGCAGGCGCTCAGCACGCTCTGCACCGTGGCCGCGCTGCTCGCCGGCTTCTTCCTCCCGAAGGCGTTCGTCATCCTCCTGCGCCCGCACCGCAACACGCCCGAGCACTTCCAGGAGGCGATCCAGCGCTACACGCGCCGCCTGGCCGCCGCCTGACCGGCCCGCTCCCGGCCCTCCGCCGCGTCACATCCGGCGCGCTGCCATGGCGGCGGCCGCGGCGCACAGCGTCCGTGTGCTGCGGGAGCTGAACCGGCAGCGCGCCGCGGGGCTCTTCTGCGACGCCACGCTGGGGGTGGGCGGCCGCGAGTTCCGCGCGCACTGGCCCGTGCTCGCCAGCTGCTCCCGCTTCTTCCGCGCCCGCGGGCCCGGCGGCCCCGTGGCGCTGCCCGACGGCCTCGCCGACACCTTCCAGCTCCTCCTCGACTTCTTCTACACCGGGCGCCTGGCGCTCACCGCGCACAACCGCGCCCGCCTGCTGGCCGCGGCCGAGCAGCTCGGCGTGCCCGACGCCGTGGCCCTGTGCCGCGCCTTCCGCCCCGCCGCGCCCCGACAGCGGCCCCGCCGCGCCGCGCCCCGCCCGGACACCGCGGTGCGTGAAGGGGACTGCGGGGTGGTGGTGGTGGTGGTGGGGGGCGCCCCGCGGGGCGGGAGCGATGACGCCGCCGGTTCCATCGCAGGGCACCCCCCCGGCCCCGGAGGAGGCGGCGGCGGCGGCGGGCGGCGGCGAGGCCGTACCCGAGAAGAAGGCGCTGCGGGGCAAAAGGAGCCCCCCGCCGGGCAGCGCGGGCAGCGGGAGAGGTGCAGCGGTGCCGGTTGAGTGCCCCACGTGCCATAAAACCTTCCTCAGCAAATACTACCTGAAAGTGCACAACAGGTAACGCTCCGGCCTCTCCTTCCCTCCGCGGACCGTGCGCAGGGCCTCGCGTCGCCCCGTCCTCACAGCAGTGCCTTGGGGGGGGGCGGCCGGCCCCGGTGTCCCCCGGGGAGGGGGGGGAGAAGGAGGTGCCCGTGCCCTGGGCAGGGTTGCTGAGAGCTGGAGGGGGGGGATCCGTACCCAAACAGGGGCTGAGCAGCCCCATCCCACGGAAGGTGCGGGCGGATGATGGGAAATCGTCCTTCCGTGGGAATGTGCCCGGGTTGTGGGGAGCACAGGAGCGGTAGCGGAGAGCAAAGGGGGTGCCTGCAGAGAGGGCAGGAGCTCCGGCGCCGCTCGGCTCCTGAGGAGCCCTGTGAAAGTGGTGGCAGTGCAGTGGGCACTGACAGCTTGACCGCGCTCCACCGGGATCAGCAAACTTGGGGTAAAAGGCAGGTTTTGGGTGACTGAATACTGGCACTGACATTGGCTGCCTGAACATCCCCTCTCCATTCCCAGTTCCTTACCCGTGTCCTCACCAGGCCTCTTGGTGCGTCCGTGCCGTGACAGATGCTCTCTGGTTGTATTCCCCCTAGGAAACACACTGGAGAGAAGCCGTTTGAGTGTTCCAAATGTGGCAAATGTTACTTTAGGAAAGAGAACCTCCTGGAACACGAGGCCAGGAACTGCATGAACCGATCCGAGCAGGTACAGCCAGGAAGCTGCCACCGGAGGGCTGGGAGGTGGCTGCTGTTGGGCAGGGCTGGAGCTGGGGCCTGCCACAGCCCACATCACACTCAGCTGCCAACCAAAACCCCACATTGCCCCTGCACCCCACACATCCCACAGCCAGGACCCCCACATCCACTGCCGCTGACATGGCAGCAGCTTGTAGCTGCTCTCCCAGACGAGGATACTCTTTGTACCTTGAGAGATCCAGATCCGATGGATGCGGGTTAAAACCTCGTAACCTGGTCCCAGCACCCTTGTGCCAAGCACCACCGTGAGCTGTGGGCTGCGTGGTTCCATGGAAGCTGATGCCTCCCTGTCTCTTGCAGGCTTTCACGTGTTCAGTGTGCCAGGAGGTGTTCAAGAGGCGGATGGAGCTGCGGCTGCACATGGTGTCACACACGGGGGACATGCCATACAAGGTCAGCAGTGCCTGCCTCCAGCATCCCTACAGACACTGCCAGGCGCAGGAAGAGGGGCAAATCTTTGTGGCGTGGGGCACCCAAACCTCCTTGCCTGGCCCGCAGCAGCTCCCTGAGGGTCATTCCCCATCTGTGAGCTGGAACGTGCTGCGGGGAGGCTCCAAACCCAGGCACTTTGTGTGGCCTTAGCAGAGATCCTGTGTCAGAACAGCGCTCCCCTGCCCGTTGTGCTGGCACGGTGCCGGTCCTCAGCTTGTGCTGAAGTGGCTGTTGGGGGGCAGCTGGGAGCTGAGCCTCCTCTGCTGTCTTGCAGTGCTCCTCCTGCGCCCAGCAGTTCATGCAGAAGAAGGACCTGCAGAGCCACATGATAAAGCTGCACGGCGCACCGAAGCCCCACGCGGTAAGGGGGGCAGGCGGCGGTGGGTACCAGGGAGGGAGCTGTCCCATGCTCAGGGTTAGAGAGCGGCACCATTGCCCTGTCTGGCTCTGTTCAGCGGGGCAGGGCGTTACAGAGCTCCTGGCAACAGTGGTTTTGGGTACAGGAGCACCCCTCCATTCCTTTGGCTGACAGACCCAGGCCCATGGCGGGCGCGGTGCCTAACCCCTGTGCGCTCTCCTGTGGCCTTGCAGTGCTCGACCTGCTCCAAGTGCTTTCTGTCTCGGACAGAGCTGCGCCTGCACGAGGCCTTCAAGCACCGGGGAGAGAAGCTGTTTGTCTGCGAGGAGTGCGGGCACAGGGCCTCGAGTCGCAATGGCCTGCAGATGCACATCAAGGCCAAGCACAGGTAGGACGTGAGTGGGTCCGCACTGAGTGTACGACCACAGTGGCACGGGCGATGACTGAAGCTCCCCAGCCTGGCTAATTCATGTTGTTGAAGTGGGAAAGCGTGCACCAGCGGCTGGTCCCTCAGTGTTCTGTTTCCTGGGCTGGTTATAACGCCCAAGGGGCAGGAGGCTCCAGTTTGGCAGCAGAGCAGCACTTGTGGGCCTCCAAAATACTTTGGATTGAGATGGGTTGAAGCAGGGTTTACTCAGGAGAGCGCTGGGGCAGCAGCAGCAGCAGCAGCAGCAGGAGGTCCCTGCAGGGCTGACGGTGCCACCTCCCTGCCCGCAGGAACGAGCGGCCCTACGTCTGCGAGTTCTGCCACCACGCCTTCACCCAGAAAGCCAACCTCAACATGCACCTGCGCACTCACACGGGCGAGAAGCCCTTCCAGTGCCACCTCTGTGGCAAGACCTTCAGGACACAAGGTACCCCCGGGCGTGCTGGTGGTGCCGAGCACCAAGCGTGCGCTGGCACGAGGGAAGGCACGTTCCTGTTACCTCCATTACCCTCACGGCACAAAGGATCACGATATTGATCCTTTGATTGATTGAAAACTGAGCTTTCCCCTTCCGAGCCTCCCTCAGCAGCGCGGCGCGCACCGACTGCGCCGCGCATGCCCCACACTGGAGGCGCTGATGCAGAGCTCTCCCCTGTCTCCCCTGCGCGTGGCAGCAAGCCTGGACAAGCACAACCGGACCCACACCGGGGAGCGCCCCTTCGGCTGCGAGTTCTGCGAGCAGCGCTTCACGGAGAAGGGGCCGCTGCTGAGGCACGTGGCCAGCCGGCACCAGGAGGGGCGGCCCCACTTCTGCCAGATCTGCAGCAAGACCTTCAAAGGTAACGGCCGGGGCACGGAGCACACGCGTGGCCCCATCAGAGCCCACCCTGGTGTGGGTCAGGGTCACCGCGAGCCGCTGCCAACGGGCTCTTGCTTCCCTTGCAGCCGTCGAGCAGCTCCGCGTCCACGTCCGCCGGCACAGGGGCATGAGGAAGTTCGAGTGCACCGAGTGTGGATACAAGTTCACGCGGCAGGTGAGGACCCCCCTGCTCCAGGGTCGGAGCCGGCGCTCACCGAGCCCCTCACCGTGTCGCTGTCCCTTCGCAGGCTCACCTGAGGCGCCACATGGAGATCCATGACCGCGTGGAGAACTACAACCCGCGGCAGCGGAAGCTGCGGAACCTGGTCATCGAGGACGAGAAGGCCGTGGTGTTGGCGCTGCAGCCGCCACCGGAGCTGGACGTGGGCTCGGCCGAGGTGATCGTGGAGTCCCTGTCCCGCGGCGCCCTGCCTGAGGACATCCCCGTGCAGAGACTCTGCTCCAATGAGAACTTCTCCCCAGGGGATGTGATGGAGCAGGCGCTGATCCTAACGACGACAGATCCCGAGGGCTGTGGCACATAGCGGGACCCGGCGCACAGGGAGCTCTGTGCCACGTCTGTTCTTCTGGAGCTCTGCATCCGCCCCTTCCCCGCGCATCTCCCACCCCTGGCTGCGGGAGGGGAAGCTCTAATCCCGTGTCAGATGAAGCCACTCCACGTGGCTCCTTAATAAACGCACGCACTCTGTGCGAGGTGGGAGCCGGGGGGGCTCCGTGTGTGTAACTGTCAGCTGCCTTCCAGTGAGATCTCATTGCGGCCGGAGGGGGCGGCTGCTGCTCACCCCTTGCCTCTGAGCTCATGATTAAAGCTTACCTTCCCCAGAGCACGGCTCTGCCCCTTCCTTAAACACTTCCCAAAGGACCGTCTCCTCCTTAGCCCTGTGCCTTCTTTCACTCTGTTTTGTTGCACTTCTGATGCCTGCTGTTTCTTTGCCCCATTGAAGGCGAGGCACGCCTGGCATCTTCTCACCACCCATAACTGAGCTGTTGGTGAACGTGAAACACGTTATCTGAAGGAGCCGGAGCCGGTCAGTGCTCCCCGCTCCTGCGTTTAGGGGTGGGGATTTCTCCTTGTCTGCAACACCATGAGCCAGGGTCGCGGTGACACTGAGAGCTCCGTCCTTGATGTGCCCACAATCACAGCCGCGCTCTCCCCTTTCCCACACACCAAGGCGACAGAATGTCTCCAGCTTAAACACTGGGCCTGGAATGAGAACCCCAGTAAAACCCTCCTGCAACCATCTTCCCTTCAAAGGCAGCCGAGAGGTTCACGGAAGGTGTTTTATTTAACTTGACTGCTGCAAGTAAATTTAAAATTATGAGAATAAAAATACATTATCTGTAACGGAGATGCCTTTGTTTCAAAGGACGGTGTTTAAACTGCACTCCAAGAGCCGGACACAATGGGCTTTAGCAACAAATAAATACAGCTCCGTAACTGTTGAGCCTGTTGGGGACTGGGGGGAGGCAGGTCCAGCAGCGAGCACTGCAGCACGAGACACAGTGCCTTCTATTTATAGTCTGGCATAAATACTTGGGGCTGCAATGCACGTTCCGCTGCGCAGCCTCGGAACGGGCTCCGCGTGGTGCTGCGGGGACATGGCCAGAAAGGAAGGAGATGCCCCAAGTCCCTACATTCCAGCCCGGAGGCTTTCGATCCAAGAGGCTGCCACGGCACAATCCAGCTTCAAGGCACTGTCAAAGATCCAGACGTGGAGAACAGCCGGGATTCACCAGCAGCATTCCCGGCTCCGCAGCCGAGGAGCAGGGCATGAGGCAGGAAACTGCATTCAAGGCAAACCAGATCCGTTTTAAAGCTGTGAAGCCGCTGATGCGGTGGAGATGGGGCCCTGGCGCTTTCCATCTCCAGATGAAGTTCAAATGCGAGTGTTTTCGCTGTTGGTTGAAAGCACAAGAGGGAAACAGCAACGGCCTCCAGCCCTGCTCTCCCGAAGGATGAGCCTTGGCCTTTGGCTCTTGGCTTGTTCACCAAACATTCCACGAGTAAACTGCAGGCAGCTTCTCTTCAGCTAAGGTAGAAGGAGGAACCCAGCCCAAGCTCCCTACGTCCCTTGGGCAAGGATAAAGGCAACTCTTAGGCCAAAAAACCCCGCAAACCCCAAATAAAACGAGGAAACGAAAGAACTACCCTAAAGTACCTACTGCTCAATCCACAGCACTCCAGGCACCTCCTGCACCTCTGCCACAACACCTCAGTGGTGTTTTCCTATTGCTCACATCCCAAGAGCTGTGAGCAGGAGGCACGACAGGCACGAGACCTCTCTGAAGGTCCAATGGGTTCATTCACACAAGGGGATGGGTTTGACAGTGATTCTGCGTCAGGGTATTTAACTGCAAGCCTGTTTCCCACCGCGGCTCCTTTAAGGTGGTGAAGAAACCAGAACGCACCCTTGCTACGTGGAGCCCATCCCGGAGCTCAGCACGGGAGAACCGACAGCAACAGCAGCTTTTCCTGCCCTAGTTCAGCCCTGGCACACCAGGAAGGGGAACGGCTCCTCCCGCAGGCAGCAGCCACCAGCCCCTTGGGCTGGGTAAGAGCAGGACTTGCTGCTCCCCTTCCCCTTAAGCTGGTGATTGGAAATGAAGCAATGGAGCTGTCAGGATGGGAGGAGAAGATAAATAAGGGTGTTTGTCTGCTGAGAAGGAAAAGGCCTTGCTAGGGAGGGCTGGAGAACAAAGACCTGCAGGGTCTGAATGCTCCGACTTAAACCCCCCGAAACACAGGGAGAACTGAAGTTCTGAGGGCAGATGAAGCTTCATAACCCAGCCACAGCGAGGCCCTGGCCATGGCGCACCCGTTCCTCCCGAAGGAATGAACGGGGATCGAGGAGCACGGCCACAGGGGAGGAAGCTCCACGTTCTCACACCAACCTCTCACCCTGACAGACCTCCAGCTCCTCGGGAAGAGACCTTTCCCCCCCTCTATCCACATGCACATGGAGCCTGTCCTGGGAGGCACAGGACAGAGGTGGGGGCCCAGTTCCCTGCCCCAGGAGACCCTTCTAAAAAGGAACTGAAGGAAGAAGTTTGGTGGCAAACGAAGCAGGAGCTCCCAGCGAAAGGTGTCTGACCAAAAGCCATGAGCTGCGATGCTGTTCAACACGACCGCTTTGCTCCAGTTCAGCTCCGGGGTCTCTATGAGCAGCCGGAGCCTCCTCCCGCCCAGGGAAGGGCCGAGCAGCATCAAACATCAGAGCTTTCCCTCTATGCCCAGTTCAGGTTTGTCTCCCAGCACCGTTTTGCCTCTCAGAGCATCACAGGTTCTGGTTCATGGAGCCGCCGTCCCCCGCTAACGCAGCTCGTTCAGGTTCTGGTTGTGGAGGTCCTGGCGCTGCCTGTTCAAGTTGATGGTGTTGTCCAGCGTGATGGCGTCGTCCTCCTGCGTGGTTTCCGGCATGAACTGCCGGAATATGCTGACGCTGCCGTGCCAGAAGATGGGCTCGGGGAGCCGGCCCACCACGCTCCATGTTCGTGTCTCAGGGTCATAGGCTTCCAGGACATCCGAGAGCTCAAAGGTGTTGTCGTAGCCACCGGACACGTAGAGCTTCCCGCCGAGCACGGCCACGCTGCCCCCAACGTGGACCTAGAGGCAAACACAAATACACCCCATGGTCACAATGGGGGTTCTGGCACTCCGGGGGATGGTATCGGAGTTGGTGCTGCCCTATAGTGCTGCAGTGCTCAGCACCCACCAGCGCTGCCCCAAACCCCAAGGAGCCGGAGCTTCCAGCTTCACACCCAGCCACAACCACTTCTCGGTGACCCTGATACGCTGCAATGGCAAGGGGCTAGAACCCAAAGAGCCCTTTGGAAACGCAGCCAGTCTTTAAGCCGGGAGGTTGGTGAGTGTCCTACCTGAAGCATGGCTGGGATTTTATCCCATTCATTCTTCGCTGGGTTGTAAACGTCCACCTCAGCCGAGTCATCTCTGCGGGAGATAACGCGGAATTATTCCTCCATGGTCTAAACCCCTCCTGCCCCGTCAAGCCCCAGTTCAACAGCCTGAAATGCTACCGAGAGCAGATCGCACTGCATGCGTCAGAGAGCAAAGGGGCAGGTCTCACGGCAGACCCCAGCCTCCAGTATGGGTCCCTCTTGCTGGGTCCAAATAACTGCACAACCCCAAGGGCTTTCTCAAGTCTCGTCTTTTTTCACACCAGCATCTCTAGTGTCTCACAGACCAGCTCCCTGCAAGTCAGCACTTCAGGGGCTGATCTGCCTTCGGGGCCAAGTGCTTCAGGCCTGGAAGCAAAGTTACTGCTATTCTGGAGAGGCTTAATCCTCCACGTGCTTCCAAGTAACAGCATCCTCCTGCTTGGGGCTTTCATCCATGCCAAATTTAGATGGGCTGAGGACACAAGACGAGAGGTATTTGGACAACGTGATCCCCCCAAGGGGGTGCTTTCAAATGGGTAAGGAAAAGGAAAACCCATAGAACCAGGCGGTGACAAGTGGCTGAACAGCCAAACCACCCCAACCAGGACTCGCTGAACACCAAGCGAGTCCAACAAATAGCCAGGAACCAAGACCCCAGTGGGTCAAATACAAGGTCTGGGCTGGAAGCTGCTGCTTCCTGCAAACCAAGAGGAGATTAAACACTGAGGAATGTGTCTGGAGGCCGTCACAGAGCTCTCTGCTTGCTCAAAGCCAGCACAACAGGATGAAACGCTCCGGCGCTTGCATGCCTTCCCGTTTATTTTTAATGAGGTGGATAACTGAAGCATTCGTGCCACCGGGACCGCCTCGGATGGGTAATTAGGCCCCAGTTTGGAACGGCACTTAAAAATAGTGACCAATCATTTCATCTTCAGCCTCTTATCTCTGCTGAGAAGGAAGGCGTCCTCTCCTGCGCCCAGCTTAACGTTTTCTTGGAGCTTGCTCGCTTATTTATAGCAACAAGGGGGGTTGAAGCCAAGAAAACAGAAGTCTATTTCCAAGCAGCGCTGCTTATTTCAGCCCATTTATACCTGGCTGTTCCCAGCCCTGGGTCAGGTTCTGAGGGTTTTACACAGTTTAAACACAGTCCTTTGAGGTCTGTCTACAACAGAAGATGAGGAAAGAGGTGCAGTGGTTCATAGACCCATCAGAGGAAGCACTGCTGTGCCTTCCCAATGCAAGGCTCTCTTACAACCCTTCCCTTTCCCCTTACAACACGCTTTCCAGGGACACCCTGGTCTTGCCTCATAGGGAAGGAGGCTCCCACTCCCATTACTCACCTTATGAAGTACATGAGGCCATTGAGGGTGACAGTCTTTGGGGCGAAGGACCAGGGGGGCAGATGCCCGCAGTTCACGAGGGTCCAGAGATCGCTGTCGGGGTCGTAGCACTGCATCACCATGGACTCTTTGCCAGCCAGGGAGCCGATGGCGAACAGCTTGCCGCGGCAGGAGGTGGTGGAGCAGTTGTCCATGGGGTACAGCATGGGCTGCAGGGCCTCCCAGCTATCCAGCGCGTGGTCGTAGCGCTCCGTGCTGTCCGAGGCGATGACGTAGAGCAGCCCGTCCAGCACCGTGGAGCTGTGGTATTCCCTGGCCTTCAGCATGGGAGACACCTCCGTCCACTCGTTCACGCTGGAGTTGTACCTCCACACGCAGTCGTACAGCCTGGACCCGTCGGACCCCCTGTGGCACAGCACAAGCGTCAGAGCAGGGGAGTGCCCTGAGGACCGCAGCAGTGTCAGGGTTTTACTGAGGTTTTGCACCGTTTCCTTCCCAACGAGCCAGGGAGGCTTCCCCTGCGCTGCCCCTGGCTATGACTCAGAAGGACTCTCCCAGGTCTGACTGCTTACATCCTGCCAAATGACCATCTCCTTGCCTGTTTTGCAACCCTGCTCCCATCAGTGACACGGCAGAGGCAGCGCTCACCCGTGCCCAACCTCCCAACCCTCCCTCTGCCTGTGCTATGAACCAACACAAACCGGAACAGCCAAATTCCCCCTTGCCAAGGCACCAGGCTCCCGGCGGCATCAGCACCTCTTGACCTGCGTGGGATCGCTCCCAAGGGCATCCATACAAACACACCGTGTGGCAGCCCATCATTGACACACCTCTGCCTTTAGCAGAGCCTTGTTTTGTGCTCAGGACCAAAGCACAAACAGTTTTCTGTTTGCCTGCATCTGACCTGTCCTGCACACCCAGGGCAAGCTGCTCTGGTGCCTTCCCGGCTTGGCTTGCTCCGGCTGCCGCAGGGATGTACTTCAAAGGAGGCACCTCCATGCAGATGAGCTGCCAAATCTCCACACCCGGGTCACCTTGAGACAAGGCACTGCAGCCCCAGCGGCTGCGGGAGCAGGATTTGTGCTGGGGAAGGCACCGTGTGACTCATGGGCACTGCCCGGCTGAGGCACCGGGGGCTCCAACACACCCCTGCCCTGAGCACCCGCCTGGGCTGATTCACGGGGCTCTGCACCCAAACACCTTCTTCCTGGGGAGAAATCCAAACCCTCTCGAGCCACCCCCGGAGCGAGCGGTGACAAAGCCCCACCAGCGCAGGATCTGCTGCCTGCGTGCTCGGGAGCATTACTCATGACAAAATACCGCCTGGATTAAGACCAGCTGCTAAATCCAGCACCGACTCCAGGAGCCCCTCCGCCCGCCTTGGGGCTGGAGCCAGAGCAGAGCCTCCAAGTCTCCGCTGCCCGGAGAGAAGCCAAATCTGGTGCCAGAACCCGCGTGCTCCCAACGGAAACCTCACCGCCGGTGCCTTACCAGTGACGTAGATGTCATTGCCCAACGCAGCCACGCTGTAGCCCCCTCCGAGGTGCTCGGGGAACTCGGCCAGGTAGCGCCAGTGCCCGGTGCGCGGGTTGTAGCAGTCGACGGTGACGAGCTCGTCGCAGTCGCGGTCGCAGCCGCCGACCAGGACGAGGATCTCGGCGAGGCCGGTGGAGGGCCGCGGGCGCATGCGGGCGCAGGGGCCGTGGTCGTGCCGGTCGAGGCGGGCGGCCTGGAAGTCGCGGGCCTCTTGCAGGAGGCGCAGGCAGGGCGGGCAGCGCGCCACCAGCGGCTCGCCCTCCACGTGCGCCAGCAGGTAGAACCGGCGCACGAAGGGCAGGCGGACGTGCGCCAGGAGCTGCGGCAGCAGCGGGGCGCGGGCGGCGGGGTCTGCGCGCACCCAGCGCAGCGCTAACTGGAAGGCGGCCTCCTCCTTGGGGACGCAGAGCCCATCGTCGCGCAGGTAGGACAGGAGCCGCGGCAGGGGCAGGCGCTCCAGCTGCGCGCCCAGCTCCCCCACGTGCCGCAGCACGAAGCGATGCGCCGCGGCCGCCAGCGCCGGGCAGGCGAAGGCCTCGGCGAAGTCCTGCATGTCCAAGGCGTTGGCGGGCTCCAGCTGCCGCGCCAGCCACGCGCCGCAGGCCTCCTTGACGGTGGGGAACTGCAGCAGGTCCGCGGCGCGCAGCAGGCGCTCGGCGATGTCGGGGCCCAGCCGCCCCACGCGCCCGGTGTAGGCGAAGTCGAGCAGGCGCGCCAGGCACTCGGGCTCCACGCCGTGCAGCCGCACGCGCTCGGCCCGCGCCTCCCGCAGCGCCCCGCCGAACATGGCGCGGAAATAGCCCGAGGCGGCGGCCAGCACGGCGCGGTGCGCCCCGAACTCCCGCCCGCCCGCCACCACCGTCACGTCGAGCAGGCTCCGCTCCGCCCGCAGCGCGCTCAGGCCCCGCAGCAGCGACACGGCGTGTGCCGGCTCCCCCGCGGCCGTCGTCGCCGGTGCCGCCGTCCCGCCGCCGCTGCCGGTGTTGGCCGCCATGCCTAGGGGAGAGCACACGGTGTCACCACGCACGGAGCCACTCGGGTCGCAGCCGGGAGCAGGTCAGGGGAAGCAAAGCGGGGATAAATAAAGGCAAGGTGGTCACCGCAAGGATAAACGGCCCCGGGGGAGGACGAGCGAGAGACCCGACAGCCCCAGAGCCACCCGCGGTGCGGAGCAGCGGCAGTTGCATAACGAGCGGCGCTGGCAGCTGCCCCCCCCCCCCCCCCCGCCCCGTCTAATTGCATTCCCCGGGGCCCCGTCCCGAGTTTCCCCGCACACCCGCGCCCGCTCCGCCCTTGCCGCGGGCACCTCGGGCCGGCCCCGCCGCTCTCCGCGGGGGCTACGGCAGTCACTGAGGCTCCCGGCGGGGCCGCTCGTTACCGAGGGCGGAGGCCCCGGGGGTCGAGTCTCAGGAGGCGGCCGCTCTGCCCCGTCCCGCGGTACCGAGGGCTCCCCGCCGAGCCGAGCCGAGCCGAGCCGAGCCGAGCCGAGCCCTGCAGCGGGTCCCTACCGGAGCCCCAGGCTCCGCTCCTCTCCGCTCACCTCCGTTCCGTTCCGTTCCGCTCCTCCCGAGCTGCCGCCGCCACCGCCCCGCCCGGCCCCGCCCCGCTCCGCTCCCGGCGGCCCCCGCTCCCGCCACTGCGCACGCCCGGACTACGGCTCCCAGCGCGCCCCGCGCGGGCTCCCGGCCGCCCCCTTCGCCGCCTCCCGCCGGTACCGAGCGGCTCGCGGGTGTCGGCGCTGCCCGGTTGCCGCCGCCGCCCTGGCCCCGCCTCCGCCGCCCGCGCCGGGACATGGACTCCGACTCCTGCGCATCCCCGTTCGCCCCGGAGGTGAGGGGGGGCCCGGGGGAAACGGGAGGAGGAGGGGGGGGGCATCTCCCGCCGCCCGCCCCGGCCACCGGTGCCCGCTCCCCTCCGCGGGGCCGGAGCCATCTTGTGCCGTCGGGGCGAGGATTGGCGGCGGGGCGGCCGTGCCCTGCCGCGGGGGGCGGCGCGGTTGAGGTCCAGCACCGGGACCGGGGGTGCAGGGGCGGGGAGGGGGGGCTGTGTGCGGAGGGGTGGGGGGGGTGCGGGGTTTATGGGGGGGGTGATGGGGGTGTTGTTGTCGGTACCGGCGCTGCCCGGCCCCGCCGCTCGCCGCGGGGTGTGGGGGTTGGGCGGCGCGGGGAGCGGCGGCGGGCGGGGCTCGGTGCGGGAGCGGCGGCGCGGGGCCGGGCTCGACGGGAGGAGGCGCCGCCGCTGACCCCCCCCTCCCCTCCCCGGCTCCCGCAGGACTTCTCCCCCGCCGCCCGGCGGCGCCGAACCGTGGAGGACTTCAACAAGTTCTGCACCTTCGTCCTGGCCTACGCCGGGTACATCCCGTACCCGCAGGAGGTGAGCGGGCACCGCGGGGCTTCGCCACGAACCCGGGGGGCATCGCGCCCCCGCCCGTCCCTGAAACAAAAGGGAGCTGCGGGGGGGGGGGGGGGGGGAGAAGGTTGGAGCCGGGATCGCTGCAGGCGATCGCTGCCCGGCTGGGGATGCCCGGGAGCTCGCACTGGGCCATGCGCCCCAGGGGATGGGCGCAGCGAGCGATCGGCGCCGAGTTAATGCTTTTATCCGGGCCTCGGGCAGGAAACGCCGCTGCGGAACAGCCCCAGCCCCCCCAACAGCACCGGAGGGACGATTGACAGCGATAGCTGGGATCCCCGGTTCAATGACATCCCCTCCTCCGTGTCCCTGCCCGCGAAGAGCAGGAAGAACTTCAGTCAGCTGAAGCGAGCGAAACCCTACGGTTCCCTGTTCCAGCGGGCAAAACCCGGCAACTTCCTGCCCGAGCGAAAGCAAATCGATAAGATCAGGAAGAAGAAGAAGCTGAAGAGGAGGGAAACGGAGGTGTCTGCAGAGGAGGACTACGAGGAGAAGCTGCTGGAGCTGGAGGCAGAGGACTCTTATGTAGAGACGCCGATGAGCCCCTCGTCCGAGGGCGATGCGCCGTCGGCGGCCGAGCACTGCTCGGTGTGGGACTCTGACACCCCCTCCAGCGGGTCCTGCCCCGCCGGCGCGCCCGAGCCGGCCGTGCAGATCCAGAGCGTGGGCAAGCGCACGGTCATCCGGCAGGGCAAGCAGGTGGTGTTCCGGGACGAGGATGGCACCGGTGACGACGAGGACATCATGGTGGATTCGGGTAGGTGGCCTGGCTGCGCACAGAGGGGCAGTTGGTGGTGGTGCTGCCGCTCCCTTTGGTACTTCCCTGTAAGGTGAGGATGATGCTGAGGCACAGAGTAAAGTGGCAAGTGGGGCTTTGGGGGAGAGGAGGGGCTGCTTGGCTGCTTTTGTAATGAACTAAGTGAAAAGCTGCAGCTTTGTAGAAGCAGCTGCTTCTCCCCTCCTGGATTACAGCCTCCTTTGTATGCTGAGTCTCTTCCTGTGCAAGAGACCTGGAAACAATGAGCAAAGGGCCTGTCTTTGAAGCCCAGGTACTTGATTTAGGGTAAATTTGGGTAAAAGGAGAGTGAATCCCCTGTGTGGGCGATGCGGGGGCTGCTAAAAACGCTGTTTCTCTGCAGATGACGACTCGTGGGACCTGGTCACTTGCTTCTGCATGAAGCCCTTCGCGGGGCGGCCGATGATCGAGTGTAACGAGTGCCACACCTGGATCCACCTCTCCTGCGCCAAAATCCGCAAGTCCAACGTCCCCGAGGTCTACATTTGCCAGAAGTGCCGGGACTCCAAGTTTGACATTCGCCGTTCCAACCGCTCCCGGACGGGCTCGCGCCGGCGCTTTCTGGACTAAGGGGGTTTGGATGGTGCCGGGGCCGGGGTGGGGGGGGGGCGGCTCCCCCGAACTGCTGCTGCTCAGGCTGAGGGGCCGCCCGCCGGCCCGCGGTGACCGGGATGAGGAGAGGCCGAGTGGTCACAACTGCTGCTAGATACGGATTAGCTCAAGGACAGACCAAGCGGGGTTTTGCCCGCTTACAACCATGGATTGGGTGATGGGGGAATGTATGATCCCTTTGCCACGTACGTTTTCTCATCCCATCGGGAGACTGCAAACCTCCTCTGTGCTCTCCAAAGAGAGGGGGAAGAGGAGGGAGTCTGTGTGAAGAGTCTGAAAAGTAAATGGCCATGTGTTTTAATTTCAGTGTAATATTATCCCTGCCCGTTTGTCTGTACGTATCAGTCTCAGATATTCTAAGGCTCTGTAGGGGTGTTGATGTGTCCCAATCTGCTGCCTCCTCCCCAGGCTCAGAGGGGCGTTCTGGGATTTGGCATCATCCGAGTGAGAATGGGACTTTGTCCTGCACCGGGGGCCGACAAGTTGTAAGGAAGAGAGCAGCCCTGTTCCATTTGGGGTCAGCAGCATCCGGTTCCTCCCTAGAAGGTCTCTTCTGATGGTGCTTTCTCATGACTTTGTTTTGCATGATCAGCCTGATGTAAGGGGGAGGCTGTTTCCTCCGTTCCCTGGCCCTTTGTTAAACTCTTAAGGTGCTGTTTTAGGGCAACGATGACTCTCCTCTTCCTCAGCCCAGAATTCAAACATGGACTGCAAAAGGGGCTGTACTAAACCTAGAACCTGGCAGGTCTGCTCTGGGACTCGATCCTTTCCATCCAAGTACTGCAGCTGAGCTGACTTTTGTTTTCATGTGTTTTGGAGACTGGATTTGTAATCAAAACCCCTCAAATCTTTAACCTATCGGTTGCAAACGATGCAGATAAAAGCAGACGCGGCCCTGCAGGTAGCAAGGTGAAGTGCAATGAAGATCCAGCCGGTGTGGGGGAGTCCAGGAGAGTGCTGAGGCCCTTGACAGGCCTTCCTGGGGATTCCCAAGGGAATCCTGTCGTGGAATGTGATGGGAGTCAGGCCTGTACATGAGGCCAAGATGGCAGCGCCGTTCCTCTATGACCAGCAGTGTGTATTGAGCAGGGGTCTCGCCAGCACAGAGCCAGGTTCCCTCCTCTGATGCCTGCCATAGAGCTGTGGGCAGAGCAGCACCGCAGTGCCCTGGGGCCATGCCGTATGGGGTGCCAAAGGTCTGACAGCCTGGGGCAGAACAGGAACTGCACCATGCCCAGCTGCTTCTGACCTGCTTCTACGTCCAAACCCCGTTCCACCAAGCCGCACCGACTGCCTCTGGGTTCTGAAACCAGCTCCTGTGAGACCTTATGACCGTGGTGTGGTGTCCTTGAGAAGCTGCACGGAACCACTGAGGAGTTTGCCAAAGACTTGCCCCCGACTGCTCTTTCCAGCCCGCAAAATAACCAAAGTTCTCAAATGCTGCGGTTTCACTCTGCCAACAGAAAGGCTTCGGGCGATGCCGGTCGTGAGCTGCACGAGGGTCAGACCTGCTCTGAAAGTTGCCATCCCTGTGTTTACAGCGTGTCTGCAGCTCAGCTGGACCTCGGCGGAACGGGTTCCTGGAGCTCTGACAGGAGAAGTGGCGAACTGCCCAGAGAACTGGCTCTTTTCCCCTGAGGTTCGATACTAATCAATGTGACTGACTCTTGTTCTGTTACCTTTCCAGATTTATCCCCTTGGATGGTGTCTGACAAGTCCAGCACGTTACAATATCAGCAGAGAGAAACAAACAAGTAACATCTCCATTCTTTTAGTTGATCACTTTCAGCCATGTATAATTATAGTTTAATTCAGAACTTTATTTTTTCATTAAAACTGTTTTAATGAACCATTTTTTTTCCCCCCTCTTATCTGTGAAACAAGTGAACAATGATTCTGTTTTATTCCAAACTCAGGACTCTGCTGTTATGATTTACCGGTGCGTGGAGCAGTTGTGCCGGGTGGCTGCAGGACGTGATGCCTCAAGCGCTCCTCCCTGAGCGGTACACAGAGCCAGGTAGGGATGGGAAGTGCTGCAGACACCTCTCATGTACTGATGGGTGTCCCCACCCCTCCTTGCACAGGCTCTGTTACAAGGTAGATTGTGGGAGCGACGGCCCCCGGTCCTGCTGTGGGGTTGGCACTGAGGCCCCCAACCCACCCAAGGGGTACCGGTGCCACCTCAGCTCATGTACATGCTCAGCCAGCCATGCTCAGAGCAGCAGCCTTAGACCATGGCAAGGGTAAAAGATGGCTCGACCCTTTAGACATGGCACTGGATCATAGTAGAAGCCAATCTCTGGTTGGTTATAGCTTCTATTTTCATTCTAGCTGTAATTTTGGGCTAAACAGAGGCCCCAGAGGAGCTGCAGCTGTAAAATGGCAGCTTCTCAGAGAGCAGAAATGGTGGTAGTGAAAGCAGTGGCTGCTGTCCTTAGAGTCGCTTTCAAACTGTGCACTGGTAGGAAATGAGGGGAGGAGGAGGTGGCTGGAGTGTGTTCAGCAGGAGAGACCGACCCCAGACCTGTCACCGAGGAGGAGATGGGCAGGATGGGGCACAGACTCCACGCATTAGCACAGCTCAGCGGCACTCGACGGCTACAAACACCATGAGGAGGGCTTGAAGTGCTGCAGAAAACGTGCTGCAGCAGCTTTACAGGTGGGGAAGGGCACTCATGGTACCTGAACGGAGGGGAAAAGCAAGAGCTGAATCCTTGGGGGTGATCTGGCAGGACAAAACAAGCTACATCTCATCATGTTCAGCAGGGCACGGGGGAAGGCTCCTGTTGGTATTGTGAGGGATTTTACTTTAACAAGAGCTGTAAATTCAGGTGTTCAAAGTACAAAGTTAAGGTTCATCTGTCCCTTGCACAGAGGCTCTGGCTGAAAAGATGAGCATGTGTTCCCTGCCCCTTGTTCAGGTACCTGAAGCAGTTCTGGCTCTGTTACAGACGGATGTGTCACCTCCCTTTCTATGGCATCCTGCAGTTTGTACCAGAAGATGCTTCTCTATTACAGGACATAATGGCTGGAGCAGGAACAATGTGCTCTGCCCCTCAGAAATGTTAATTTTCAAGTGTAGAAACACCATGGGGCATCTCAAGTACCAAAGCAGCTTTCAGAATCACAATGCTGGCTCTCTACATTTTAATGCAGACTCTGCAAGCAGACACTTGTAACAGCAGAAACTACCTCAGGAAGCTGTCAGAAACAGGGACAATTGTTTTATTGTGCAAACCTTTTTCATGAGAACCCTCCCCACTGTCCTTGCTGTGACAGACACAGGGCCAGGCTGAGATTCCTCTTTGTAATTAGCAGTAAATGTGTTGTTGCTATTTTGCACTTGCTTATACAAAACACAACTCTCAGTCCTCCTCCTGGGAGTACTGTGCCATGTCCTAGTCACTACAGGCTGGCTCTTACTCTTGGCCACAGACTTCATGCAGTGACAGGACATGAAAGAGGAATTTCTCATTCCAGTTCAGCTGTTGCACATGCAAGCCATCAGAGAGGTCCATCAGCAGGACGTGACAAGGGTGCTACAGAACTCAAAACCCTCACCTCTCAGGACTTGGTTTTCAAGAGCATCCTCCAGATGCAAAGGGAATGTGGGCTACTTTTCAGCTGAGTATAATTTATTGCACATTTTACATTTGATTTCAGATGAACAGAACACTGGTGGCAAGCAAAATAAAGTCCTGCACCAGGAGCTGGTCACAACTGAAGAGTTTTGTTCTTAATAAAAACACCTGAACACCCCTTTGTTGTATGAACTTGTTCTTAGAGGGGGGAGCATCTCTTTCAGACTGGCTCAAGCCAGATTGCCCAGAGCAAATTCTCCTGTCACACTGAGTTGAGCAAAGGGAACCACAGCTGCACCGAAGCAGGGGCCAGGTATGTGTCAGGGAATGATCTCTGGCAGTAACTGTCAGAGCCACGCTGCACTGCCCAGACAGTAGTAGTGTAAACTACATTCCTCTTTTCCCTAGAAATAAATTAGATGGGAAGAGACAGTTGCAGCACCAGAATCAAATTAAATGAATTGCTGTCCTTCTTCCCACTTGCATTCCTCTACTGAAAACCCTGATAGTGCATGATTCTAAGTGGCAGAAGAATTAATAAGGCTATTCCAGCCTGTGTCCTTGTCTGGAATAGCAGTGTGAAACGAGCAGCTGAAGAGCTCCTCTTTACTACAAAAGGCAAAGAACTTGATTCCAAACATACTTGTTCTTAACAAGAACACCTCAAATGCAGATTTGAGACGCACATGATCTCTGTCCTCTTCCCAACAAAAGGATTTACACAAAGGAATTCCAGGTGGTGGCCAGAGAACTTAACTCCCCCTCAGGAGCAGAAAAAGGCGTTACCTACCCCAGGAAGTATGTGGAGAACAGGTCGTCTTCCCTGCTCCCTGCAAGGAGATAGGCCGTGGCCAGATGGCAGCAGGAGGGGTGGCTGCAGGACGGGTGGTGCTCGGTGCCCGCTCGCGCACCCTCAGCACAAAGCACTGCGCAGTCAGAGCCACGTTGCTTTATTGGTTACTGAGCCACAATTCAGAGCAGTATTGCCGTGGAGCCACCTGGAGAAGCAGGTTCTCAGAACTGGTAGGACACCACCTGCTATATGGGTAGTTAAAAATAAGAATGTCTCTGTTCAAACTTGCGGTGTCCAGGGGGAGGTTGTGGTTTCCATTGACCCAGGTACCGTTATGGACACACGCTGGCACCGGATTAGCCATCAGCATCGATTCTGTGAGCTGTTGGGTGAGAACAACACATGGATACACCCCTTCTGGTGGGCGAGACACCCCAGCTTGAACCCACCACCAGCCACAGAGTAAAGAGAGGTGTGTGCCCTTTAGCCAGTAACTGAACCCCAGTTCTGTGCGCTTCACCACACAGGGCTGAAGCAATCCTCTACTGATTGCCAAAGGAAGAAGCAGAGCAGTGCTTGCTACTTACATTGCTTTGGTATCCTAAGGGCCTCGTTGTCAGCTGCCATCACTTGGTGCAGAACTCCTCGGAACTGATAAAGCACTTTCAAACTCTTCTCCTCACCCACACAGGGGTCGTAGAAACCTGGCAGCCCAGCCTTGAACCAGAGAAGGACACAGTGAGCATCAGGGAATGGACTTCCACAGCTCTTCAGCTGAACAAAGTCATTTATTAATGCCGGAATGAGGCATCATTAAAAAAGGAGCTTGTTACCAATGAGGTAAGGAACTAAATGCAGACAGGAGCGAATCAGGGCGTTGTTACAGCCCAGAGTCTGTAACACACAGTCTCACATCGAAAATAGAGA